ATATATATATATATATATATATAATTATTGAGTCTAATGTATTCTGTTTTATGACCAAAATGGGAAGAAGTACACTTTAAAAATATTCTACGTAATAGAAATTATAAGTTATCATTTTTATGTAATCATTATAAGTAAATAAAATTATAATAAAGTTTAATTAATTGAATTTTTTTTTAAAAAGTATTTTATCGCATTCATCAGCTTATTTTCTTCTACGCAATATAAAGTAGAGGGCCCGATTATCCGGAACAACCGGTACCAAAGCCGATCCGGATAATTGGACAACTTGAAAAAACGGCTTTGAGAATGTTTTTAATTAATTTTTCAAGGCTCAGGATTAGCAGTTGTAGTAGTGCCTATTATAGCATATTGCAAGTGGCGTGTTTAAACAATTATTTTTAAAAAATATTTTACTTAGAAACCTGAATTATTAGAAACTTGCCACCCACATTGAAATTGAGAGGAAAGAGCGTAAAGTTCTTTTCAAGGTCACCGGGAGACAAAAGCTCCATTTTTCGACCCCTTTTGAGACATTCTGAAAATAATAAAAAAAATTGTAGTTTCGCGATTTTTTTTTTTTTTTTTAATTTTTTTTTTAAGGAAGTGGGGGGAAACGCAAGGTTCTTTAACGATCCGTATAATTAAACAATTCAGTAAAACGGCATGTACAGCACGAAATTTGCCTCTTTAAACTTGTATAATAACTTTTTTAAATATCTTTTATGTGTGCCACTTTTTTAAAGACGCCGCGAGGAAAAAGAGCAGCAGTTTGCAAACAACGCTCCAAGCAATTAATAAAAAAAAAAAGGAGTTTTCTATTCCCCTCTAAATCTAGATTCGACGCAAACATTTCTTTTAATATGGAAAAATAACAGCTCTAAGAAAGTTTAATTTTTCTCGAAAAGCTGGAAGAAACAGAATTCAAAGTGAAAATATTAAGTATTCTATAAACCAATAGCTTGAAAAAGACCTCAAAATATGTTTTAAACATTCTTATTTCAATCTAAATGAAAAAAGCAATTGTATAAGCGGAATAAGTCTGCTGTCTATTATTATGAAATAGCCAAAATAGGATAGGACTTTTTTCTCCCTAGAAAGAAAAGTATCTTTTTTTAGAACTGTTAAGAATTGAGAAGATTTTAGCTTTAAAAATAGCACGTATAGATAAATAGATTGAAATTTTTTGTTCTCTTTTGTTAAGAAATGTTCTTAACAACGTATCTTTTAATGAAGCACTTTCAATGACTGTTCTTTATCCTCAAAGTAGAATTCTACACATAAATTTTTTGTACCGTATTGTGAGCTTAAAACATCTCAAAAAATATAAATTGAAAAAATTTCAGAATCAACTTAATGTCAAAAGTGCATACAGAAATATTTTACCAAAACAGTTTTAGAGCTTTATTATCATTTTGAACTGTTAAAATACAATGACTGAAAATCGAATTTTATTTCTTGTTTGAATGGCTAGGATTTCGGCTTTATCCTCCCGACCGAACTTAACTGTCGAAAGGGTTGAGAGGAGGTGGAAAAATTCAAAATATGTCGTTAATTCTTTTTGTTTTTTTATTTTCACAAGCAAACTGTTAGTGGATATGTACTCTCTTCGACAGTATGTAATCGAACCTGTTTTTGTACTGTCTTCTTTTGTGCGATTATAATTTGTATGATTTTTTGTACGATTTTTTTATGCTGTGTATGAAGATTTTAATCAAATTGGAACGTAATTGACGAAGTTATCAATAAAGAGTAGGTTTTATAGACCATTTAGTTTTTTCGATTTTTGATATATTTCATCACTTTACATAAAAATTGCTTCAGCCAATTACATAACATATGTATCTAATTCTATAATCGCATAATTTAATTGTTGAAGTTTTTATGTAAATAAATGAAATTTACTATTAGCATATTGCGTTGGAACTCTTGAGTAGCAAAGGAAAAATTCATTGATCGCAAATTACACTAGCTTCGAGCTCTGTTTTGCTTGTTTTAGGGAATAAGTAAAAGAAGTTTACTTTTTTTATTTTCTGATCTGCACAAGTAACAAGTTCGCTAAATAAAGTGATTTCGTAAAAAAGAATGTTTCGTGCGTTTTAATTTTTAAATCTAATATTAATTGACATCTTTTAAGGTGCTTTCACATTCTTGGACCAGTAAGATAAAATTCTTTTCAAAGCGTAAATTGAATTTAAACTTATTATATTTTCTATTTATATATAAATTTTAAGATTTTTATTTTACGTTTAGATAGAATAAGGTAAAAGATTAAAAGGTAAGAAGTTAGATAAAAAGGTAAGGGCAAAAAGAAAGCGAAGAGGAAGGTAATTTCCTTGAAAACAAAGACTACGAATTTAAAACGAAGGTGGACGTGACTCTAGGTGATACTTTTTTTATGCTGTCCCTATCTACCACACAAAAAAAGTTTAAGTGTATTTCCACATTCAAGCTGATATTTTTCTACATTCGAGTTAAATGCGTTTGAGTTAAATACGTTCGAGTTAATATAAATTAAATTACGAGTTAATATAAATTAAGTTCGTACGATCTCATTAATTTTTTAGCTGTAAAATTTAGAGGTCATTTTTCTCTGTAAAGTATTAAATTTATCAGGTAAAATTAAGTGTTTGAGGTTTGAATTACATTTAATTAGTGAACCAAACACATAATAAAAACACAAATCAGCAAAATAGTTTCATTTCTAGTTGCGTTTTTAATGCCGAGAAAATAAACTTTATTCTTTAAAACCGGTAATCAATTATGAGGTAATTTTTATTTTTTTTATTTAATCGAAACAAACTACGTTTACGAAGATTTTAATGCATGAAATTATTTTTGCATTTTGCCAGAAAACTCATTTTATTAATGGAGTTATGATAAAGTATGGGCCGTGGCAGCCCAGTGGCCCGGGGTGTTCGATCCTCAAATCCGCTAAGACAGATGCGATATACGAGATGTGGTCGCTGCGCAGTACCATGGGTACAGGGATCTGGAGAAAATTTCCGTCCCCTTCAGATCTATGTTAAAATTGCAGGAGTGGCCTCACGAATGAGTGGCGCGACCATCTATCCTGGTGGTTTTGAGCTAACCGGTGCTTTCTTATCAAACGAAAGGCGCGTCTTCCTGGCTTAACTCAGAAAGGCTAATGTATGGCGTGCTTGACTTGTCTAAGTGTCTTAAGAAACAACAACAATATTAACTATTGGAGTATTACGTCGATGAGCATTTTATTTAAGACATAGCTCAAAAAGTGTGTTTAAAAAAATCGACACAGCACTCCATTTCATTTTTCAAACTTTTCTTACTAAAGTTGTTCTTTTTCTTTTAAAGGAAACAATAATAAACCTAAATAAATTCATATTATGATTTCATCCATTTGCTACATTTTTTAAAATTAATCTTTTTTGATATATTAAAAGTCAACAATTATTTTTAAAAGTTTATCACAGGTTCAATAAATCTACAATAGTGGTACTAACTTGACGCTGTTCAAATGTTGATTTTTTAATAAACCAATTTAAATCGCTTAAAATTCTGAATACGAAGAGATGCCTGAAAAGTGACATCAAAAATATACTTAGTTAACACAAATCCGGACTTTTTCCCATAATGATTATGCTTAAATTTTAAAAAAGTACGGTAAAGTAAGTTCGAAATTTCTCATTTAGTTGTTAAATTTGAGTTTAATGTTGAAAAGGCACATTTTGAATTGTGTCCATTTTTTATACACGCATTTTGAGCTATGTCCATTTTTTATAAATGCGTTTTGAGCTGTGTCCATTTTTTTATACACGCATTTTGAGCTCTGTGTCCATTATCTAAAAAAAACTCATTTCCAGCTGTAAAAAGCTCACTGATGGGACGATTAACTAAAGCAGAGTCAATAATCGATTTGGAATATAATGAGCAAAGTTTTCTGAGTGATAAAACTTTGTTCTCTTCTTTTTCTAAAACTATACGAAAATCCCTCGAACACTCCCATTATCTGTAAAAATTAAAAACACAAAACCTTTCGTAATTTTCCCACATATATTGTGTCAATGTCAGAAAACATTTGCTTTCGTAAGTATCTGATGCTATTCGGAAAATTCGACCTCATTGTCAAGAAGTAGAATAAGAGCTTTCAAAAGCAATCTGCTTTAAAGAAACATATAATTCTTACGCAATGTGAAATGCCATGAACCTGATCAAACAACTGCTAAATATGATTAAATGTCAAATAATGGTTAAACGACTGAAACTTCAAACATAAATGCATTTATTGGAATGTCTGAAGTATTAAACTTGTCATTATTTGATAATTTAATTGTTTATGATACTATGTATCACTTATTTCAGTTTTATAGACATTGAGGGTCATTTTTATATATTATTTCATATTTTTAATGTTTAGGGTACTTCAGAATAGCGTGGTTGAAACAAAAGGATATATATATATATATATATATATAATTTTCTGTTGAAAAAAATCATTCGTCAATACTTTCACCAACAAAAAAGTTTTTCACACCGAATTTACGATTTCATCGCCTTTGGCGAGGTTCGAATGCTTAGAGGGCCCTGATAACATGCAGAATAATAAATAGAATTATATTTTTTGAAAGAAGAAATGGGTTATTGCACTTTAACATAATTTGTTAAATATTATTTTAAATATAGTATTTTTAAATTGAGTTGTATATATCTCCGAAGCCAATTGAAGCCAACCCCTCTTAACTGTTGATCACTCTACTCCTCAGTAAATTCAAGATGGTGTCTAACGGAGCAATTTTCAGGTATTCATATCGTTTTCAAACGACAATTTTTTTAAAAAAATTCCAGCATTCTTCTGATCATTTTCGTATTTTACAACTTAAGAACTAGCATACGATGAGATGTGAATGAAAATAGAGACATTTGGCCCACCATTCAAAAATTTCCTAAATTGCCATAATTTTAAAACTTCGGGAAAAATTCATGCACCTACTCTCTTAGAAATACTTCGCTTTAGAGTTAAATTCATGTCCCGACCTGATAATACCATCAAAATAAATTGTGCACATAATAAGAGTATGCATTATTTTCGAAGTTTTATTATTCTCTGTCAGTAACAGGAAAATGATAATATTTAATATTCATTGGGGAAAAAGCATTTGAGTCATTCATGTGAAAGCAAATATTTAGGCAGTAATGCTCAATGCTCCAAAAATACTTTTTAAAGGCAATNAAAAATCTCAACGGCAAGAGAATTAATACCAACCCGTGCTCCGTCTACCACTGAGAATTTTTTACGTCAGGTGCGTGGCCGGTGCGAGCTGGTACGACAACCTTATTTTATTAATGTATATATATATATATATATTTACATTGATATCTTCGATTACTTGTATTCAATGTGTTCCACACACATATGATTTCTATAGCTGACTATGGCAATGTAGTTAATATACTAAAGGTTATACAAATAATGATTATAAATTTAAAAATGTGTAATCATAAAATTGTAATTGAAAAAGGTTATGATAGTAAAGAAAAACGTCACCATGTCTGTTACCATGTCATATGTAGAAATTTTTGGTGTTTTGTAAATGCCACTGGGGTTTTTACCGAGTCTCTCGACTCGGAGTGTCACGGTTGGAACCAACCCCTTCTCTCCTGAGGGGTCTCACGCAACGATGAGACCTAAATTTGCATCCTACTTTAAGGGGAGGATTATATCTTATTTTATATTCTTGAGGCTCTAGTTTTAAATAATGGCAGAAGATGCATTTAAAAAATTTGTAACGTAAAAGAAAGTTAACTCATAAGTGCGATTAAGGAATATATAAATTTAAGTTAATTAATATTTTAAATTATTTTTTATTGAAATTTTTTATTGCAATTTTATCCCAAATTTCGATTTTGCAAATTTTCGATTTTTAACTATTTTTATAGATTCTAGAATATTTTTCCAGTGTATTTGATCATGAGTAAAAATTGGCTAGACTCAAATTATAAAAATGCTTCTTCAATCTAGCAAATGTTCATGATAATTAAGTATCCCGACTAGCAAAAGTAGAATGAATTATATTTTTACAAAGGCTTTGTAAAAGCATACAAATATGAAATTCAGTCCAACCCCGCCATGGTTTGTAGTGAACCCCTGGATATAGTATGCGAAATGTTCACTCCCGTGTTTTGCTATGCACGTATGATATTATTTTTTGTGGATATAGTGAACCAAAAGGAGAGGAAATTGGTTATTATGAACTTTTTTCTGTCATCGACTGATTTTTTGTTTTTCATATTTTGGTAATTCTGAAATTTCTACATAAAATACATACCGATTATTAAAACCATCTATTTAGTGGAATGTAGCCATAAGCATACTTCTTCCATCTCAGTTTCCCATACCTAAATAAAGGCCATCCCTAAATTTTTTGTACTCAAGCCGAAGAGTAATGAAAAATAAAAGTTAACACATTTTTTGTTACTACATATTGATTTTTAATCATTTTTTTATTAGTCATTTATTTTAATAATATGTAATAAAAGGGAGCAGTTCGAAAAAATTAGTAAATATTGTTTGCAGTACGAATATAGTGAACTCCCGGTTATGATGAACCGAAATTTCGGTCCCTTGAGGGTTCACTATAACGGGGTTTGACTGTAGTAATAAAATTGTGCCAAATGTTGTTCTCAAGTTAATATATAAAGTATATAACAATTTACAAATACCCTCCTGTAAGTACAAAATATGTATAAAAATTGAATGTAAAAGCATAGGATTTATTAAAAGAGTTTATGCATAATATTTTAGGATTCAGTTTCCGTGGGAGTATTTCTGTGGCAGTGGCAAAAAAGCGTCGTTCATCCACTCATTCACATCATGAACATGTCATTAAATAACATGTCACTATAACGGGGTTTGATTGCAGTAATAAAACTGTGCCAAATGCTGCTCTCAGGTTAATATATAAAGTATATAACAATTTACAAATACCCTCCTGTAACTACAAAATATGTATAAAAATTAAATGTAAAAGCATAAGATTTATTAAAAGAGTTTATGTATAATATTTTAAGATTCAGTTTCCGTGGGAGTATTTCTGTGGCAGTGGCAAAAAAGCATCGTTCATCCACTCATTCACATCATGAACATGTCATTAAATAACATGTCACTATAACGGGGTTTGATTGCAGTAATAAAACTGTGCCAAATGCTGCTCTCAGGTTAATATATAAAGTATATAACAATTTACAAATGCCCTCCTGTAAGTACAAAATATGTATAAAAATTGAATGTAAAAGCATAGGATTTATTAAAAGAGTTTATGCATAATATTTTAGGATTCAGTTTCCGTGGGAGTATTTCTGTGGCAGTGGCAAAAAAGCGTCGTTCATCCACTCATTCACATCATGAACATGTCATTAAAGCCATCACACAATCCGTTGATAGCTATTCAAATCCAGCTTTTGTCAATGGTAATTATCTCTCAACAATTTCTTTTTTAATTCATCCTAAAACTACTTAAAGTTTTTTTATTAGAAAAATGAAGTGTATAACAAAGTGTAATTCTTCAGATATTATTGTTGTTTTCTGACATTTCAAGGAAATATACAAAACATTTTTTTTGTTTAGTTCTTATTTATTTATTTTTCTCCTATCTTTTACATTGTTTCTAGTCATTCAGAGTCATTTAATTTAAGAAACAAAATTCAGTGAATAAAAAAAGATATTTTTCATCAACACATTTTTAACACTAAGCGCAGCAAAAACCAAATAATCGAACAAAAATTTTCTTTCATTCTTTTTTTTTTAGTATAAACGAGCAAATATTGTTCCGTAACCATCCCCTTCAATGTTTTAAATTTTTTAAATTCTTCTTCAAAAGGAAATCATAAAAAGTATACACTGTATATATATGTTTCAAATTCATTTAATTTTAAAAAAAAATTCAGTGAATAACAAACAAAAAAATCAATTTTTCAGCAACACTTTTTTAACTGTAAGCGCAACATAAACCTACTAACCAAACGAAAATTTTCTTAAATTTTTTTAGTATGAACAAGCAAATATTGTTCTGTAACCATCGCCTTTACTGTTTTTAATTTTTTAAATTCTTCTTCAAATGAAATCAAAAAAGTATACGCTGTATATCTATGTTTCAAATTCATTTAATTTGAAAAAAAATTCAGTGAATAAAAAAAAACTATTTTTCAGCAACACTTTTTTAACTGTAAACACAACATAAACCAAATAACCGAACGAAAATTTTCTTCAAATTTTTTTAGTACAAACGATCAAATATTGTTCTGTAACCATTACTCTTGATGTATATATTTTTTAAATTCTTCTTCATAATGTAATCAAAAAAGTATACGCTGTATATATAAATATGCTTCCAGTCATTCAGATTCATTTAATTTGATAAAAAATTTCAGTAAATAAAAAAAAAATATTTTTCATCAACACATTTTTAACTCTAAGCCCTACATAAACCTAATAAACCTACTTACCGAACAAAAATTTTCTTTGCATTATAGTACTAAAGAGCAAATATAGTTCTATAACCATTACCCCTGATGTATATATTTTTTAAATTCTTCTTCAAAATAAAATCAAAAAAGTATACGCAGTATATATAGATATGTTTCTAATCATTCAGATTCATTTAATTGGGAAAAAAAATNAAAAAAAAAAAAAAAAAAAAAAAAAAAAAAAAAAAAATTTCATCAACACATTTTTAACTCTAAGCCCAACATAAACCTAATAAACCTACTTACCGAACAAAAATTTTCTTTACATTTTAGTACCAAAGAGCAAATATAGCTATAACCATTACCCCTGATGTATATATTTTTTAAATTCTTCAACAAAATAAAATCAAAAAAGTATACGCAGTATATATAGATATGTTTCTAATCATTCAGATTCATTTAATTGGGAAAAAAAATTCAGTAAATAAAAAAAAAACATTTTTTTCATCAACACATTTTTAACTCTAAGCCCAACATAAACCTACAAAGGAACCATCACCCTTACCATCACCCTTAATTAAATATACTTTATAATATACAATATATTTTATAAGTATATATTTTTTAAATTCGTCTTCAAGATGAAATCAAAAATGCATACGCATGCTTAGGGTCAAAAATTAATATGTAAGCGAGAGAAATAAAGAACGCTATCGAAATATAACGAATCACTGGAGAGGAAGGAGGTATGAAAATATCAAAACTATCTGAAACATGGAGGTATTTCTAGTTATCGCCATTTAACTCCTATTTGCTGCGTCCAGCAATCGAAGATGTTAAGATGCACTCTCTACCATCTTCTTCAGTAGTGATTCCTTAGATGTGATATACATACACAGCTCGGGAACTGCGGTTGCCATTGGCGAAAAAAAAATTTTGTGTGGAGATTCTATTTTTCGCTTTTCAATTTCGATCTGGCATTTCTTTTATTATTCAATATTTAAGTATAAATAAATCGGTCTGAGAATTGAACTTGAGCATAATTTTTTTCTCCCATTCCCGCCCGTATATTCAACAACCATCGGAGACAATTCCGATTTTTCTTAATCTCCACACTGCCCCCTAATTTTCGAATTCCTGATTCCGTGTTTTGCAATAATATCGTGTTTAAAAAATAGAAATTTAAAAAAATCGTTTTGAAATCCTTAGGAATAACTGCGGAATTGCAATTGAATACCACGTAGCTTTACGATAAACTCGATACAAAATCGAACTAACGTGGTCGAAAATCGAATTATTCCATGGGTATAACACAATTTCGAGACCCCTGGCATGACTGTATTGTGAACAGCATTACGCACAATGAAGACTTTACTTCCCAGACAAGCTGTGTGGGCTTCATGCCACCGTTGAGGATTGAACTCCAGAACCTTAACAATGACAGCTCAGTGGCTTTAACCACGGAGCCATCGCAGCTAGATAATTCATCTACATTATTTTTATTTTAGTTTATTAATTATTTTTTAAATATTTATTAAATATGTGTTTCAATATTTTATAAAAACATAATATATAGAACTATATACTATGTAGGATATCCACCACCATTTGATACCCAGGTATCCAAAACTAGTCTTTCAAGTCTTTTAACTTCAAATGGAGAACAAACAACATTAAAAGAATTCCTACTACAAGTTTGTCCGATTGACATTCTAGCCTGGCCTGACAAAACTTGGCCTTTCAAAATAGTTGATGTTATAAAGGTAAACCTCTTCAAATTTCTATTTATTGTGTTGGCAATTAAGGTCCCTACCGTTTTATGAAATTTAACATTTCGTTAATCATAAAATGTTTTTAGCAAACTCTTTCGAAAGAGACTGTTTTACTCTATGAAAATTTCGCCTTTTTTTTTGTTTTGTTAATTTTTAAGTTATTAAATGGAATTTCAAGTTAAGCTTTCACCTCTCTCTTTATGCTTTTAACTAGAGTTCAAAGGATGCGAAAGCTGCTTGTGACATTTGTGCTGTGGATGGAATGGAGTGGGTACCAGAACTCAAAGAACCGCTCGTAATTGGTATGCAAAGAATTTAAAATTGGAAATCTCACAGACACACTTTGTTCTGGCCATCTAGTTAAGAGCGATTAAACGAAATTTTACGTCAAACGGTAAAAGAACTAAGAGAAAGAGAGAGAGAAATGTTCCCACATTTTAAACTTTTAAAAAGTTTAAAAAACTGGCCTATATTTTGTGACCAACCTAATATTAAATCTCAAAAATTTTGTTCAGTAATGGGATTCAGTCGATACATGCCTATTCGCGAGTACTAGTTCTTAACGAAAAAATTTCAAATGTAGTATAATCTTGTAATCTATTTGTTCTTGTAATCTATTTATTTCCTGTAAACTATATTGTTTTCTTTTTTTTTAATTAAAAATTTTTCATCGTATCAGTTCTTACAATCCTTGCAATCTAAATCTGCATTCCTTGTTGTTTGTTGACAGCATTTTGAAATATGTTTGCCAACATATATATGTTGCCAGCATCTAAAAATTTTTTTTGGTGATTTGATGCTTTTATATTCCGAAATCTTTTAAAACCATTTGTTTAACCCAACATATCCTTTTTTTTGTTGACTTTTTGCCCTTAAATTCAACATTTAATTCAATCCCATGAGCTGAGTTCAACATACAAATAGTTTTTTTCTGTCTATTTTTGGAAGATTGCAGACATAATGCCGATAGTCAGAAATTATGTGAATGAGGTACGCAGGGGAACTACAAATCCCCACAGGTTTTTAGAAAAATCAGATATTTTGTCAATTTTACAGTTTTTGTTTTTGAAATGTAATTTTCTGTTTTCTGTAAAATTTTCATTTTATTCATGCTTATTAGTTGTATTTCTTTCTTACTTTTATTATTGCTTATTAATTTGTTTATTGCTGTTAATTTTTTAAAAAAAATGGGTAAAAAGTATAAGCTCCGTGAGGAGTAGTACACCTCGCTTCATTGAGCATCAAAGCATGCAATATAAAACAAATGTTATATTAAAGTGGTTATATATAATTTAGAGAATTTAAACAAAGTTCAGTCAATGCAAAATGCTATGCTTTGTTTTTTTAAAATGTGCAAAAAAGGCCCAATATTTATACGGTTCCCCACTGAAACCATTACAACACTCCCGACAGCCGAAATCTCAACACAAACAAAAGAGCAATAATTTAAACACGAAATAGTTGCCAACTGGTATTTATATAGTGTTTGTAAAAAGAGATGAATTCTCTGTTGTTAAAACTTGGGATTAATATTGAAAAAACGCATTTTGTGCCACTTTCTTACATTTCAAGCCATATCCAATTTCTTAAACACGCATTTTGAATTGTATCTTTAAAGAAAAGCACAACGACGATATATTTCATCATTTTTATCTGTTAATGATTACATTTTCAAAGAATTAAATTAAGTATATAGAACACATAATTTGTAAAAATTTATATATTCCATTTTTTTTCAGGCACCCATTTGTGGACTTCTAATTATTACAGTTCCAGTTGTCGATTATGAAAATGACAAAGATAATTGGTGCCGTCCTCTGTGTATAATTCAATGTCTTACTGCCCCTATGTTTGTAGTATTTGCTCTTGGTAGTAAGTTTATATATTTTAGTATTAGCTATACATAAATGTACAGTGCGCAAAAAAAATAAATAATAATAAATAAATAAATGGATCACCCTGAATAACTTTTGATCTATGATAGGATCTTCACGTTCTAGGACTCAATCTTAATGGTTCGAAGGGATGATCGCAAATATCCTAATTAATTAGTGCAGACGATATTTTAAGTTACGAAATCAGACACAAAACTTACTTTCTTTGAATAAACACACCTTTTTTCGACGTATATGGTCCCTATAGTTTAGTCATTAGAGTGGTCCAAAGTTTAAACCCCTTAATATTAATTTTACTTTTTGCGTATTTCACTATATCTCGAGAACTTTTAAATCGAATTGAAAAGATTTTGCACTAAATTATAAGACTCGTTTTTCCAAAGATAATTCCATGCAAAATATAACTTTAAAAGGAACTTTTTTTTATTATTTTAAGGTATAAAAATTTTTACATCATTTCAAAGAATGCAATTCTAATTGGCAAAATATAACATTTGAGCAAAATCGGTCGAATAGTTCTTGAGAAATCGCATTTTTAAAAATTTATTTCGTATTTTGAAAATTTAACGCAACCATCTTACGTAGAGTTAGCATATTGTTCGAGCAGCGAGATTAAGTTCTTTTTACAAATTATCATTTGGGATTAAATTTCGAAGCTCATATATATTTGACAAAGTAATAAGTGTTTTTCAACGATTTTTTTTTTTTTTCAAATGACGATTCATACGTCTTTAAATGACGATTCTTATAATGATTCTTTTTCTTTAAACACAAATAATAAATCAGGTAACAAATATTCATATACAAGAAATACTACTGAAGAGAGTGTCAAAATACAAGGATCACGTTGTGAATAAAAAAGGTTCCAAAAAACACCAAAAACGGTGACCCGAAAATATAGACAGTTAAGAGCTCGCAGTGCCCCCTAGTGTTGAAAACACCATCCATATCTGAATTTAACATTCGAGGCGAGCTGTTATTTTACTGAGGGAAGCCTATAACTGTTAAAATTCTCCTGGTGAGACACTAAACATCCAGACGATTTTTTTTTTATTTCGTGATACGCCGTTTCTTTTTTTTTTTTTTTTTTTTTTTTTAATANCGCCGTTTTTTTTTTTTTTTTTTTCCTTTTTTTTAATAGTGGACACTTGGCTCTATTTCCCATAGGCCTCAGAAATGCCAGAACTGCTAGTCTCTTAGGGTTACCCAGTGGTCACCTGCGGCTAAGTCACGGCGATGGAGTAGCGTCGCCCACGTCATACAGTCACAAACCCGTTCATATCCGTTCAGGTTACATTCACACAGAAGAAAGGACATAGAACAGAGAGAGAGAGAGAGAAAGTTACATCCATGTCAACGGTGGGATTTGAACCCACAACCACTGGCCTGTAGTGCAGTACAGCAGCGTTTCCCAAAGTGTGGTACGCGTACCCCCCAGAGGTGTGGGAGTAGTTTAGTGGGGGTACGCTTTCTTATGCGAAATATCTTACAACAAACGAAAATTTCAAAAAATTTTATTTAAAAACAAAGCTAGCCATGATTTTCTATTGGTTATTTTTTGCAGAGTTAGCCAGTTGTGCTTTTTAACCAATTGTGCAATTTTTTCACAGTAAAAATACATTCATTTTTTTTATTAGTGGTACACAGCGTTACGAAAAATTTAGAAAGGGTACACAAAAGTCAAAAGTTTGGAAAACACTGCAGTGCAGTAACCACTAGAGCAGTGATCGGTTTACACCGCTTCTTTACCCATGTTGATTCGAATCACCCTAAATACCAGAAAATTTCTACATTGCAAACTTTAGCTTCCATGAATTACTTTAAAAGGACGCTATATTGCGGGGAAAACTTTCCATGAGAAATTCTGTTTTTCTCCCATCGGTATTATAAAATATAAAGTTTAGAAAAAAGATATATCTAGAGTAAACCGTGAAGTTTCAATGCTGGAAAAATATAAAAATGCGTAATCCAAACCAATCCTGCCGTAATTTGATTCTATTTTGATTTTAGTAAAACAAATTTTAGAAACGTTATGGTTTACCTGAATTACTTTCATTGGTAAAAGAAAATTTGGCGTCTTCTTAATCTTCATTCTTCTTCTTTTAATTCCAAACTTAACTTCCACCTCTAACTTCCTGCTAACTATAGATTTAACCATTCTATAATAGTTCTTGCAGAGCCGCGAGAGATAAAGCGTTCGCTTTCCAATGTGGCGAACCGGTCGAATCCCAGTCGATACGAATTCCGCATCCGGCTTGCACCGACCACAGTGCGGACGTGAAATATCCTCCATCGTAGACGAATCATGGGTCAGAGTCCTCTTGCCGTCAGGCTAACCGTGGGAGATTCTCGTGGTCTTCATCTCCATGTAACGCAAATGCTGGTTAGCTCCATCGAAAAGCCCTCCACGAAGGCAAATTTCTCTCAATACTCGATCCAGAAGTTCCCTTGTCTTCTGGATTGGGTTCAAAATTACAAGACTACGGAGTTGAACATTAGTAGTCGTAAACCCATAAAATTGGGTTTGCTGTTCAACGACGGTTATAAAATAAAATATAAAATAGTTCTTGCAGAGTGAACTTGTTTCTCATTATGCTACGAAATTGCTGCTCCGTTTTGGTTATAAATTCATATTCAAGACTGTTTACAAAATTAAAGGTCGTATCGTTATTGAAAATCACATTTATCACATACCTTGTCAATGCAACCTTGGCTACTTTGGGCAAAGCAAACGCCATTGGAAATGTAGCTTGACCTGATTTGCTTCCCGTCTACCGCGGTATTTCTAATTTTTTCCCCTTTTGATATCTTTGCGTTTTCTTTTTTAAATTTGAATTGCTTTCTTCATTTACGTCTGGTGAGCCTTGAGAATGGGTGCTTATTTTTGAGCACTCGAGATACCTTCATAATTTAAGAAACCAATGAAGTGTTTACATTTCATTAACATTTTCATAATAATGAGTTTACTTTTCTAATAAGTTAACTAATAAATATTTCTTTGCTGATACAGAAAGTGAAATAAAATTAATTAAAAAAGTCTTTATGTACTAATTAATAAAAGTTGTTTCTTTTTAGAATACAATGTGATGTTGTGGAATACTATGCCTCTGTGGGGTGTCATTTTGATTGCTTCTGTAATAGTTGCGTTTGTTGTTTTTTTCACATCGTCCAATGATTCTCAGCCAATTTATCATTCTATGTTTGGATTCATTGGATTCGTCGCATCTGTCGTTTGGGTATACCTTCTAGCATCAGAAATTGTTTCATTATTAAAGGTAATTTTATCCAAATTGAGCATTTNTATATATATACCTATTTTTACCATAGCCTGTCAAATGACCGGACTTTATTCTACAAACATATTTCTTCTAAATATTATTATTTCGATAATTCGTATAATTATTCTTATAATTAATATTATTTCTTCTAACAACTTGTGCTTTCTTGATTGTTTCGACATTTTTCTGGGTAAAAACTAACAGTTCGAAACGAAGTAAAGCTTCCAAAATAATGTATAAGCTACTTACAAAAACAATTAGTTTTTTTTTTCTTTTTTGTTTTTTTTTCTTACGCAAATATGCTATCTTAAATTTTTAGGTGCTTTCTTGAAATTTGAATTCACAGTCATTCTGCTTGAACTAACTACGCAACAGTCTTTGCAAAAATGTGCAACTAATTGAATGCAATACGTTGAACACGCTTTACATCGTAATTTCTGATCTGATTACCTTATACAAACAAAATAAAAAAGAATCATAGAATATTAATTGTATATAATTGTTAGAAAAAGTCATGCAAATGTGCAAAAATGATAAAATGATCATTATCGATGCAAAAGTTCTTTAACTGTCATTTGACCGTTTATGGTATGTTTAGTGTTAATGCTAGTCCTTGCAAAATGTATATGACAAATAGTTTTAGAAAAACGGGAAAAAATCAAGAGTTTCGGAAAATATTGGAAATTGTGAAGGAAAACAAGGCTGTACCATTTCCTAATGAAAGCTTTATAACAACTACAATCTAAAAAAGGGCAACATTTTCATTTCAGTACATCATATACTTCAATTCAATTACAACAGTCGATCGACAACGTATTTTTTTCAAACGCTTAACTTATTAAATCTTGCATAGCTTTACTAAATCAGTTTTAAATTTAATATTTAAAAAATTACTGAATATAATTACAACTTCGACATTTTTCAAAAAATATCAGCTAAATATATATTATGATTACTAAAAAATATTCATATTTTTATAAAGTTGCTTATGTGAGGTAATAAAAAAAATGACATAAAACAATTTTATTTCTCAAAATATACAATCATAGATCAAGCAAAAAGTAAATTTAAATTATTACCCATAATACTCCTTGCAAAAGGATTCTGGTATTTTGCGGAAAAAATTTAATGCATTGATTTAAATTTTAACTCCAGGGGAATAAAAAGAAATAAAATATTTTTCACAATTTTCCCAAAAAAGCCCGGTTTATTCCCCTGAAAAAAATCGGGCTTTTTCATCCATTGCAACTCTGCCGATAAATAGTTTTAAAATTAAATAAAGGAAAAATGAAGTTCGATAATATTGTGATGTGGTTTAGTTGTTAACATATTCAAAGCTGAACAAAGTTTTAACGGGCTCTGGGACAAAATTTATTACGGGTCCTCAAACCATAAAAAGCCTTATTTTCCTATTTTTAGAAATTTTGAATACCCAACTTTCAAAATTTTAGTTTTAATATAGTTATAAAGAAATTCTCTGCAATTTTCTTTAAAAAAAATGAAAAAACTAATTAGTAATCACTATATTATTCTGGTCCCTCTCTATCTCCTTAAATACGACCTTGCGTATGTTTATTTATTTATCCGTATTATGTTATCCATACCATACTATTTGATGATCCATATACTAATGCCACCATGATCTATGCATATGCCCGATAGTATGCTATATACAAAGAATGGTCAAATAGAAGAACCTTTGTCAAATAGAAGAAGAGATAGCAGAAAAATAGATCTAGGATTACTGTGGGAAATTCAGAGCGTTTGACGAATTGCGATATGCTTGGCCAGGGAGGCCCTATTGTTAGTTTCGTACAAAAACCGCGCCAATTAGCTATTGTTTTTGGTTTACTATTAATTCTTAAAGATGATCCAAAGACAATACTGGAGTATTTTTTTATTTTTTTTATTTTATCCGTCGTTGAACAGCCGACCCAATTTTGGGTTTACGACTACTAATGTTCAACTCCGTAGCCTTGTAATTTTGAACCAATCCAGAAGACAAGATAACTCCTGGATCAGTACCCCCGGAGGTCTTGATTTGTTATGGAAACATGGAGGACTTTGCGACTCAACAGATTAAACGTGCATCACTCACCATTTACTACACGGGGAGTCTTCGGCCAGCGGGATCGAAAACACGAACTCTTGGACATGGGCCCAGTGCCCTACCAACCGGGCTATCCCAGCCTAATACTGGAGTATGCGCAAAATGTAGTCACGATTCAAATCAGATAGCTGAATTAATCACCCTGGCTTTGCACCATGCTCCTTAACCAGTCGATTACATACTCTTTACATACTCTTAATCACCAGAAATATTACATTAGAGTGGATTCCGAACCACAAAGACAAGATCGGAGAAAGTGCTGTGAGATAGGACAATGTTCATATATCGTCTACAATCGCTTCACTGACAGATCACATTATTTAAGGTTCATCACCGACACGATCACTTCATCATCGAAAGATCACGATTATTTTGCCGATATGATAAGTTTTAATTTATATTTTGTGCCAAATTTCCTTCATAGTTGCTCACGGTTTGATCTCTGAAGATTTTATTTGAAATTTTTCGATAATTAATGTCCATTATTTGATTTCAATTATAAATATGCCCTTAAATAACTTGTTTATTTAAAATTCCGTTATTTCTGAGAAAGTAATTGAAGACAAAAGTGGGAAAATGGTTTATGACCATATAAGCTAATGGTGAGAAAAAAACGATTTTCAGTATTTGAGATTTTCAAAATAAAATTTATTATTTTTAATGTTGAAAAAAAAATTTAAATTTGAGAATCAGGTTGGACAAGAACCGTTTTTTCCTCAAAATTCCACTACAATAAATACTTCTTTACGAGTATTCCCGCCATCTTCCTCACTGTCCTTTTCTTTGTTCCTCTTCTTTACGAGTGACAGGAACTGTTTTTCCCCTGCACGGTGCAATAATTCACAGGAAGAACCAATTTTCCTCGTCAATGTTTTGTCATAACTGAATAATCCTCAGAATGCAACAAATGGCAATCCAATCGTCAGTTTTGTCAAAAATGGACTTAAACCGTTCTTCCTTCTTGATCTTTAATTATTAAGTATTTGCACCATAGAAATTTCCTAAGTTTGAAATGAAGTTCATGTCAACCTTATTTTTTATCAAATTTTTAATTTATAAAATATCTTTCTTTTTCTGAAACGATTCAAAAGTACAACAATTCAAAAAATTTTACCGTTCAAAAAACAAGTATATTTATTAAAAATAATTGTTCTAAAAGTTTAGGATTGGTGCTTTTGTTATTCCACTGAAATCAATTTCCAAAAGCCCTTCAACCATATAACAAGAAACGAGCTTTAAAGATCATGATGGGCAATAATTAGATTAATATAATAATTAAATAATTGGATTTTTACAGTAGAACTAATCCCAGATAGCAAAATAAGTTTTATTTTCACTCAGCAAAAACCTTTTAATGTAAACCTAAAAATGCTTTTAATGTGGTTTTCCGTGTAAACCTTCTAACCTTAAAACGAGATCTGTGGCAATTTGCTCTATTCTACGCACATTACCCTAATCCAAANTTTTGACCACAAATGACCACTCTTCTATATAAAAACCTTAAATCGAGGTTGACTTAGGGTTTTCAAGGGTGAAAAATCTTTCAATAAAGCTAGTCTCAAGGTGAGAATAATCTTAAATCTAGGTAAATATAAGGTTTCTTTTCGCAATGTCTTGTATGCTCAGCTAAAATCCACCTTGTCAGGAAATTTTAATAGACAGTTCAATTTGATCCTATCGCTAGTGTGACGTCAACTAAAACGTCATTATGGACCTAAGTGACCATTTTATCTAAGTGACAATACTTTTCAAAAAAGCTTTAAAAAATAATTTTTCATCCTTTTAGGATGAAAAGTTTGAAACTGCAATATTTTTGCTTTATCGAAAAAATGTTTTTAGTACAAACATTTTCGATACAATAAAAAGATAATTCTGACACAAGATTGCATGCAGGTTGCATGCTTTCTGGGAATGTATCAATGCTGGGGACAACTACGAGGAAAAATATGTAAAAGGTTTCGTTATACCAAAGTATGTTTCTGTTAGGTATAAAGCTTCACCGTAAAGGACTAGAAAAGCTTAATTTATTTAGTTCTAACTGAATGGTTTATAATTTAACATGATATCTTAATGATATTTCAAACAATAAATTTTATTTTATTTCAGACTGTGGGAGTAATTTTTAAACTAAGTGATACAATCCTTGGCCTTACAGTCTTAGCATGGGGAAATAGCATTGGAGGTAACAAATATTTCACTAAATTTTGGCTAATTTTATTATTTATTTAAACAACTAAAAATATCTTTTATTTTTGCAGATTTCATTTCAAATCTTTCAGTCGCAAGGCAAGGTTATCCTAGAATGGGAATATCTGCTTGCTATGGTGGACCACTTTTAAGTATCCTTTAATCATCATCGGAAACCGTTAATAAAAAAATAAAAAAAGTGAAAAATTACAGCTGGTTTTATTTGAAGTATTTAATATTGCAATGAATGTTACACTATTAAGCCTCAAATGCTCCAGAAATGTTGAAGTTCAAAATAAATAAATAAATAAAAAGAATAAAAATGTCTCGACGAATTCTAAAATAAATAATTTTTCCCTGAAAAGTATACTAAAAGTGTAAGAAGTAAAAAATACCTATTTATATCGAATAAAAACGAAACGGTAAAATTGAGGTTCAAAAAATCAAACTTACACGAATTTAGATGCACGTATCAGTTTTTGTAGAATGCAAATGAAAAAAAGTAATTTTAACCTTAAATTAAAAAACATATGTCATTTTTAACAATTGACCAAGGTCCTTTTCTTCAATCGGACAAAAACTTTTAACCGACTCTCACTGCGTATTTTTATTTAAAAAAAAATTCAAAAATTTATTATTTTTTATAGCATCTTTAAAATCTACATATATTTTAGAATTAAAGTATACAACAAAAATTTCGCAAATTTTTTATTTTTATTTTTTACAAATATAGAATTAGATCTTAAAAAAAGGTTATTGGAAAATTGAAATTGAAGAATAATCAAGTTGAAGGAAAATTTTGAAAATTAATCTAGGTTAACTTATTATTTATTTCATAAAATGCAAAGTAAAATGTACTAGGCAAAACGTATATACTAACGCAAGCAAACATGCAAAACTCTTATTAGAAATGAAGTTTAGTATGATTAATTTTGAAACGCGAGCGCTTAAAATGCTGCAAAACATGCTTGTATAATCTGCAGAAATATGGATAACTAACGCCATCTGTTAACCTAGATCTGAATAAACACTTAAACATCACTGAAAAGCTTAAATGAAAGCGTGGGCGAGAAAAAGATCGAAGTTCTATGCCGTTTTTTACGTCATCGGTGGTTAATACAATTTTTTTTAAATATCACTAGTTAAAAATAATGTTTTTTCTTAAAAAATTTAATAACTTATTCAAACAAATCAACATTAATTTAATTGAATAATTTTCATTTAAATATTTCTGTTACAGATTATTTCTTTTTTTTAAAATTAGTTATAACAATCATTCTTTTGTCAATAAATAAATTAAAATCTTCATTGAACTAATTTTAAGTACTTTTTTTCGTAGTACAATTATTTCTCTATCTCTGATGCATTAAACTTTAAAAGCTATAAAATGAAACACTTGAATGCAAAACTTTTACTTCACGATCTGCAGATATATTTTAAAAATTTTCCATGATTTTGCAAAGTCAATACAGAAGTTTCTGCAACTGAACATATATAGTCTTTTAACTTTCAGGTAGATTTTTTTCGTTTTATAAACAAAAATATGCCATCGCATACACTTTTCGAAACATTTTTTTTAAAGAGCTTATAACTAACGCTAATACTGACGCTTTTAAAAAGTTTTTACGATAATGCATTAAGTGAACAGATGAGACAATGAAAAAAATTGGAAAATATGACAACCAAAGTTGACTTCTTCAGGGGGTACCTGCCTCGGATTATTCTTCTGTGTTTTATTGTATTTTATGCATTCTATTCTTTCCTGGACTTTGGCAAAACCTTTGGGTTATAGAGAAAGCAATTTTAGACATTTGTCTTGCTTTCTCGATAGAAAAGGTTTTGCTTTTATGACAGCCGAGGCTGGTACCCCCTGAAGAGGTCAGCTTTGGTTGTCAAATTTTCCAATTTTTTTCATTGTCTCATTTGTTTATTTCCTTTTGGACTCACTGCTGCTAAGCGCGTTTTTCCAAAGGATGTATTATTATTAGTTTTGATTGCTTTAATATTTTGAATTCTTTACTTAATTAAGTGAACAGATTATTTGATTTGTATGTAACTGAATACTGATAAAATATGCAAGAAAAAGTTGCAATACAGGGTAGTTTGCAATCACCTCCCTCAATATACATTTTGAATATTATTGACCATTTAACCAACTTGAAATCAAAACAGTATACATTTGATCGTACCTATGTACTGTTACTCATGAAGAAAAGTTTTAAAAATTTGAATAGCTTAATAATTGAAAATTCATCAAGCATGAAATAAATAACTACAGCACATAAAAGTATATTGTTTAAAAAAAAAAACATTCCTTAACTATTTCAAAGATTTACTCTTAGGTATAGGAATACCTTACACAATTATGATAATCAGAGGTGGACAACCACTACAGGTATGTCATATCAAATCATTTTTACAGTATATTTTATCTATTTTTAATCAAAAACTTATTAAAAGTTACGCACAGTTTTAGTTGCCCAGTATAAACATCCTAACAACAGCTACGACTGAATGTAAACAATAACAAGCTTCCTCAAACCGGAAGAAATGTAGAAAACTTACAGTGTATGCTTCCGTTTATTTTATGCTTACGAGGCGATATAAAAGCAAGTTTAATATTCTAAGTTTGTGTAAAATAGCACCGTTTGTTATTTTTTGGTTAGCATCATAGCAAGCTTGCGGAGTCTTGCGAATTAATTTGTTGTTTGTTTCGTCGTAAGTCTTACGACTAATTTTAACCACTAGCGCCATCTGCACTTAGCTTTACACGGTCTACCATCCATAGTTTATATGGATGATTAATCGTGAAGCAGCACCGAGACTCTATTTGGATGGCGCACGGGTTTGAAATTTGTTGTAAGACTTCCGGGTTAAATTCGATTGATTTTTACGCCTAAGCTTGAAAAAGCGCACCATCCAATATTACACTTGTAGTTTTTACAATATAACACATTCTTTCAATTTCAACGGAACAAACAACAAATGAATTCAAAAGACTCCGCAAGCATGCTATGATACTATACAAAAAATAACAAACGGCCCATCTAATATGGTGCCCCTGAAAGAGTGGCCAACAAATCTCTTCTTAGATGACCAGGTGGGTCATTCTAAAAGGTGGGCATTGAAGAAAAAATTACTGTCCTTGTTGCAAGTCGTGCATCTTGATACATTAGTTTTAGCATATTGTCCGAGCTGCGAGATTAAGCTCATTTCACAAATTATCATTTAGGTTTAAATTTTCAAGTTGGTATATTTCCTATGCGCTGCACAATCAGTCTTCCCGATGAGCAGACCTAGTGCGTTCTCCAGAAGTGGTATCCACTCTTTCAGGACCACCACAATGGATGAGATACCGTTGACCATGTTAATCTGGACGTCTAGTTTCTGCCACACTAAATAGCAGCACCGAGACTCTATTTGGATGCTAAAGTGCACTAGGAATTTAATTTTGCCGGAAATGCCAAGAGCCAATAAGGCACTCCAGGGATCTTTTACATGTCGCATAATCATACGACATGGCAGCTGAGGATTTTCTGCATCCCGAAAATCCGGTGTCTGGGCCGGGGATTGAACCCGCAGACTTGGGCTCAGAAGGCCGACGACAAACCAACAGCGCCACCCAGGTATATTGTTGACAAAATAAAAAGTATTTTATAACGATTCTTTTTTTTCAAATGACGATTTTTATGTCCTGAAAAGATAGTTCTTCAAATGACGATTCTCTTTTTAAACAAAAAAATAAATCAGATTACAAAGACATGTATACAAGAAATACTGCACAAGAGTCTCAAAACACAATGATCACGTTGTGAGCGAAATGGTTTTAAAATACACCGGAAAGCGTAACCCGGAAATATAGGCATTAAAGAGGTTGTAGCTCACCTTAGTGCAAAAAACGCCATCCACAACGCTAATAAGGGATAATACTCAAAACATGGCAGCCTTACACTTAATATATGTAGTGATATTAAATTTTTGAATTTGTAAATCGACTTGTTAAAATTCATAAATTACAGAAAACTCTTATGAATTTTAAAATAATGCATAAATTTTAAAAGAAACCCCCAAAAAAATTTATCGTAGGAACTCTAAAAAGAAAAATTTACGCTCTTTCACATGAATTAGCAGCAAAAATTGCTTTTTTAACATGCAATCAATTTTAAAAAATTGTCAGCCTAGCTTAGGACAACCGAGAGATTTTTAACAATTTATTAGGTATATTTTGTATAAATTTTTTCCATTGTTTCGTATTATTCTGATACTATTTTTTTTTTAATTTTAGCTGAAATACGAGAGATTAACGACCCTTTTGTATAGTACTCTAACAATCATCCTACTCTCAACGATTGTGACTATCACAGCTCTTCGATTCCAAGCTAAACGATGTTTTGGTATAATATTAATATGTATGTATTTCGCTTTCTTAGCTATTGCTATTATTTTAGAAACAGGAATCATTTGAATAATGCTAATGAACTTACAAAATAAAGCTTTAGCTAACAGAAAGTGGGTTTGAAAAAGCAAAGTGAATAAGAATTTAGAAAAATGATTAGAAATGGAACAAACTAGTTTTGATGCTGAGTACTTTATAGATAACATCAAGGCTGTGTCATTAAACTCTTAACAAACGGGTTTTAATTGACAATAAAGCTAATATGTGAAGTAAATGTGATAACCAAAATCTACAAATATATAGTTGTAAAACATTTTCTTGTTATTAACATCTTTTATGTATATTTTTCTATGTGTGTACACAAACTTATTATAAATAAAGAAAAAAAAATTCTGAAGAAAGAACATTTCTTAATTAGCATCAACAATACCTCGGAAAATTTGTTATACATTTGTGAAATCTTTTACTGCCCAATAATTTTTAATAAATATTCCTAGCATAAACAATCTACACAAACGCCCACATTTTCGTTTTTTAAAAGTGCAAAATTATAGTACATAATTTGCATAATTATGTATATCATATCCAGTGTCATCTAATCTATCACAAAAATTAACTTTCATATACAGGATGGTCATAATTAAAAAATCAATGATTTAGATCAACACGAGTTCGTTCTAGTCGGCGGATGTCGATGAAACTTGGCTTATAGATTGCATGGATCATAAGATAAAGAAATCTGCAATCGTAAAAAAAAAAAAAAAAAAAAAAAAAAAAAAAAAAAAAAAAAAAAAAAAAAAAAAAAAAANAAAAAACCTAAATTAAGTACGTTCCCCTTCCAATGAGGTGACCAGGTTCGAATACCAGCGATGACTGGTCAATTCGAACTCCACGCACAGCTTGCACTGCCGCAGTTTCTGTTTAAGTCGTCTGAACATTTATTCGTAACTTAGTAATTCGTATTGTTTTTTATTTTTATTTAATAACGGTCGAAAAAACGTTGAATTGTAAGGGGTACAAATTTTTGTATCTCTTTAAAGAATATAATTTTACAATGCAAAAGAAAAATTTGGGCAAAATTAGTCGAATAGTTCTTGATTAAAACGAATTTTAAATATCCGACTTTTTTTTCCCGCGTGGCCGCTAGCGAAACTTTCACTAATTTCGACCCTTTTTTTAGCATGACAAACTTGCCATCATATTTATGATGATGAGATGAAGTGACCATTTCAAAACAAGAATGAAAAGCGTAAAGAAAAAACTCAATTTATTCGATAAAAATTTGTAACATTCATTTACAAAGGAAGGTTTACATCACTTTAAATAACTATTTTCAACAGTATGTAATATATTATCTGTATGCCTTCTTTTATAATACACAAGTTATACAGCTTATACACTGAGAAACTTGAGGCACATCAGACACTACAACCTGATAAGTTTAACTGTAAATATGTACAATATCTTTTTACAAGGAAACCAACAATTCTGAAAATTATTCTGTACATTTTTTTTTTTTTTTTGCATACTGCACAGATAACCAAAATGTTATAGAAGTTACTATTGCATATTTACTTGCAACTGTTGCATATTTATTTGTAAACAATAAATTGATTAGGCAACATTATTTAAGTTTTGATCCATTAAAATTATTGTTTTAAATGCTTATTTAAGGCTGATTTCATAACAGAAGTAAAGAAATGGTTAATTGCTTTATTTGTTCAAAAGAAAAGTGCATCAACCTATTGCCAAACCCTTATTATTTTATGCTTCCTAAACTAGGAAGTTCAGACTAGATAATTGCAGAAGCGCATTCATTACAAATAAATAAGTTCTTGAACTTCAAAATAACATTTTCAGGAGGAAAAAAAGGAACATTTAACAATCAAATTATGAACTGCATTAAAATAAGTAACGTTTTACATTTTTGAGCATGTAAAACAATAACTGTTGAGCAATATACAGTCCCAAATATTATTCACTTTTCAGCTATAACATTTTTAGCTTCACACATACAAGTACAAGTTGGAAGACAGATGGTATCTACAAACACACACAAAACAAAATATTATCATGGCTTTTAATCTATTATGTATTTACTCATATTTTGAAAAATGTGAAACATTTGCAACGAACTCTAAAATAACACTAGTCATCAAAGTGATAAATGATTTTTTTAACATGTTTCCATTTGAAAGTATTTAATTCAGATAGAGATAATGTTGTATTACCTTGCCCTTGGAGCATTAGTCCTGGCTTTTCTAACCTTTAAGGGGCCTTTCATACAATATAAAACCGGTTTTTCTAATAAATGCAAAGCACTTATTGGAAAACCCGACTGACACTATAACTTGACATAGTCATCAAACAGCCAAAAAAGTTTTCTAAATTTCATTCATTAAATTCAGGTAGAATGTATGCAATACCTTGCCTTCAGAGCGTTTGTTAATCCTCGCTTTTCCTGAAACTTTAAGCTGGTGTCTTTCCTGCAACGTAAAATCAGTTTTCCAATAAGGACATAAGCATGAACATTTTGCTCACATAGAAGACCACAGTAATGAGATTAAATTATTTAAAAGTAGACTTTGCAAAAATTTCTGGATTATTTTTTTAGAAGCATGAGAATGAACTAGTGACATATGTTGTCCTAAGGATCGTTGAAAATTGCTTTTTTTATTTCATAGTTAACATTTAAAACTTAATTTTCAATTCATCTACATTGCATTATAAAATAAACTGTAATTAAATTTCTTTAAATTATCGCCATACTCTTTCTGTCAGCTACATGGATACACTGTTCCACTTGCTAGAATTCAGTAAGAATGTACATTCATAGAATGGATTAGTTACTTCCCTATGTCCAACATGATATTTTAAAATGAAAATTGTAAAAATTTGGAAAAACAGAACTGTGTTATTGATAAGATATAAATAAAAACTTTTGTTTTAATAGAAAAAAATACATCCATTTAATATTAGTTTCAGTCGGTGAATAAATAAGCATAATAACAAACTCCAAATAAGTCAATGTGTTTTCAACCTTTTTAACACTATTTCAGAATAAATGGAAAAATTCTTGCCACTAGGTTAATAAAATTCAAAAATAAAATCCTTTAATTTAAAGTTGTGTCAAATCAGTTGTTTACAAAATGAAAGCTAAAAGAAATTACCAGATGTCCCTGTAATACCGAGTAAAATTTAAATTCTAAACAAAAGTTGTTTTTTTCCTCCTCTCTTTCAACACCAAAATTTTTATTGAATCCTCAAAAAACATACTAATTTTGTGTATCATCACAACTGGTTTAGTTGACACATTTTATGATGAAATTTTTAACTGTGGTTTGACAATTAGATGGTTTTGCATTTTGCATCATAGGAAAATTAAGTGTTACTGACCCCTTTAAAATCAAAACAAACAAGGTTAACTCTTTCAGCAGATATATAGGCTCAGAGAGCAAGTCTATTTTTCATGTTCTGAAAACATGTTCAAAAATGAACTTGTTTCATTTTAGACTGAAAATCATTAACAAAAGGTTACATCATTCACATTGAGTTAAGTGTCTTTTTGGATTTTTTAAAATTTTTCTTTGTTATTTCTGATGTTTAGAGTTATTATAGAGTTAGTGATTATACAAAATAAATGTTTGTAAACCCTAACACAACTACTGTTATCTATTAGAATGGCTAAATAAAGTTAACACTTAACTTTATTTTAAAGAAAACATTGATAACTCTTAATAATAATAATACAAAAAATTTAAAAAAAATTTTACTCAAATTTATAAACATTAAGGTAATCATCAAATCATAATTATCACTGATTATTAAAATATTGTAACTGTAAAGTGATAACAAGATTAAATATCTTATTAGAGTTTAAAGAACAATAAGAAAATAATCATAAATTAAACATATATATTTAAAAATACACATCAACATAATTTTTTTGAATTTATAAAAGAAAAAGCTTGTTTCATGCTTCATATTTAGGCAAGAGTAATAAGAAATATTTTCACAGTTGACCTTTCAAAATTTATTAAATGATTTCAAAAAGTCTTTCTTTCATTATAAAGAAACAGTTTTAAAAAATATTTAACAAAACAGATAAATGACAACATATCCAATACTGTGTTCTTTTACTAGCTCATTACTTATTGTCAATCTTATTCAAAATGTAAAACATTTTTTCTTTAAATTAAAAATCAATTTATGAAGAAAAAAAGGTTGTATTACAAAAAATTGTAATTGCTACACCACTTTCAAATCAGGATATTTATTTGCTTACCACAGATGCTGAAAATTGAAAATGCAGTACAATAATTACGATATTTTATTTTTCTTAAAGAATGAATAAAATTATGAGTTATAAATAATTTTCTTTATAAGTATTAATGAAATTTAATAAAAAATTATAATTCATACCTTCACTATATCAAGCATTGGCAAGTACAAAGTTTGGGATGTGTATTTTTAAATTACTTAAAAAAAATTAAAAAAACATAAAAGCATAGATAATTTTGAATTAATATCTTCATGAATTGATTAAGATCATTTGTGATTTGTTAATAATTTTTATGAAAATTAAAGGAAATTTCATGAAACAAGAGATGTATTAATTTTTCTTCAGCGTAAGAAATGTTACATTAGTCTGAAATAGTAAATAATATCATACTGAATCAGGAAGTTGTTCTAAATGTTTAACTTAATCCATTGCTTTACGTGAAACTTATAAATTTCATAACAAATATTAAAATAAATTCTCAGGTAAATGCATAATATTGATATCTACATGATAAATTTTCATTTGATTTAAAATATTCCTATTTAATAGGAAATTAAAAAGCTTAAAAGTAGTTAGCTTCATATTTAATGGCACATTTTAACATATAAACTGCAATATAACATATTAGTATAACATAATAAAAATCATAGCGGCAAAACATATGAAGTTTTAATTTGATGAATTATTCTTCATATACATAAGCAACAGCAATAGATAACTATTTTTTAATTAAGTTATTTTGTTTCAAGAGCCGATCATGAATGCACCTTCATAGGAATAGGCAGATAAAAAGGGTTTTCTGTCATAAAAATCATTAAGGTGTTACGTGAC